TTGCACATTTTATATGTAGTTATTTCCATTTCCTTTCTTTTTTGTCGTCTTCTCATATTTTCGTTTTTTTCCCCCGTTTTTCGTGTCGTTCTTTCTTTCTTTTTTTCTTTTTTTTGCATTTTCCTGTTTATCTTTCTTTCGATTTTTCTTTTTTTCTCGTCGTTTTTTTCTTTCTTTCGACTCCTGTATTTCCGCTTTCTTTTCTTTGCATTCTTTTTCATTCTTCGTTTTTTTGCTGTTGTTATTTATTCGGTTTCTCATTTTCTTGTTTCTTTTTCTTTCCTTCTTTTTGCCCGCAGATTTTTACCTGCCATCAACGTTTCTAAAATCTGAAATTATCGACAAAGAACGTTAAAAAAAATTTTAGTCTCATCAAGGATAAAAAGAAAAAAAATTAACGATTTTTTTTTCGTATTTACGACCAATGCACAAATGTTTTCCCACCTAAGAATGATGTTTATGGGAATATCTCCCAAGCCAACGGTAGTAAGTAGAGTTTTATTCAATATTTTATGAGTATTCCAGACTAAGCTAAATTCCCGAATGTTGCTGGTTAACATAAGAAAAACTAATCTCCAGGGCCATGATTAATAAATTCAATTCATCCTAGATCAAGTTTTAATCCCAATGGAGGCTTCCATTGAAGGCGTACACCTACGCCTTTTGTTTAACAATGGTCACCAAGATTGTCTTGCGGGCAACTAGAAGTGTGCTCATTACTCCTTGAATACCTTACCGTTGTGTCAGGTTAAGTTAGAATTAAAAACTATTATGTAAAGATAATGTTAAGTGGCGCCAGCGTAAAATGATGTCATAGAAATGTCCAGACCAATATCAGTTTGCTCTGGTATTTGGTGAGTTAGTATGAAGACTGACGTAGTTTCTCGTGGCAAGGCGACATGAAATATCTAAGTTCAGTGGTAATAGTAATATTCTCTATTACTTTGGTTTATTGAGCAAAAAGCCAATGTAATCCTCGGTTGAAATTTATAAAAGCTTTCTATTAAAACAGTTTTTTTTTTCAGGAAAATAATTGTTTCAACTCAATTTGTTAATTTTGTTCTTTCCACTACGGTTGTAACCAAAGGAAGCTTATTGAACAGAATAATCAAACGAAGGTTGGAATACACGATAATGCTTAGGACAAGAACAACACATATAAGATAGAAGTGAGTCAAGTGAATTCCACAATGAATCTCCAACTACAGGATATCTACTAACCGCCCCACATTGTCAGATATGGCACAAAGCCGAATTTAATGTGAGGAATCCGAGCCCGTAGCCTCGGCCAAAAATTCGCCGTAGATCCCGTATAAAACAGGGTCGGGTAGCTGTTTCCCGAGACGAGACGTTGCCCTTTGACGTAGCCTCGTCTGAGGATCCTCGCTGACCGCAGGCAGAGAGTTTGACCAGCATAGCTGGAAACGAATCTCCAACTGTAGACCATCATGCAGTATTTACTACTGTATTTATGTGAATCGCCCGTGTGTATGTTACAACTACAAATGGCGGTTTCTTTCCTAATATTTTGTTCGAAATGGTATGTAACGTCAAACTCATGCCACTATCATTATTTTCTCCTCGAGTTGCATATGCTATCCATTTTAGTTGTTAAGAGTCTTCCAGTGATGTGGTTTCTGTTATTTGAAACACTTCTTTGCGAGTCTGTAGCACCAGTCCAGGAGGTTGGTAAAAGGGCGTTCTTCTCCAACTCTTATATGGTTCATACTAAGTCATTTTCAGTCACTGACATGAAAATGCGCCTGTGTACAGCTAACAGTTTCAATATTTCTGAATAGGTCAGGCATTACACCCGTAGTCTTGATCTGATTAGATGAGGTTATTTAAGAACATGACTCTCGTTTTAGGCAAATGTTTTGGTTTTGTAGTATTTTACGGTGTTGTGCAAAACTATCCCACTAGAGCAGCCTATTCTATGGTCAATTTCCTTATCTCTTATACTAAATTTGTTATAACTAATTTATACAGTTATGTTTTGGAAATGTTTAGTAATTATTAATTCAATATTCTTCAGTTTTTCGATAGATTTAGGATATGTGTCATCATTGCTTCCATTCCAAATTCAGAACATAGTTTCTGTTTTAAAGGAGCGGGAACAATACAAAAACAGAAATTAAGATGGCACTAGATAAAGATTGACATTGCATTTTAATTTTTGAACATCAAACTTGACAGGAAATGAAGTAGCCGAAAGAGAGTACCACAAATGAGATGTGCGGGAGAAGAAACTATTAGCATAGAACTTACGGTTACATTTAGCTATTTCAACTGAAAATGATGAGACCTTGCCGCCAATCTAGTACTGCGCTTAAGTTAATAAAGTCTTGTTATTTTAGAGGACATCTCATCCGAACTATTACCATGAAAATATTTATAGAAAAGCCACAGGGAAGCTACATTACGGCGGCGAGAATGTGATTGAAACCGAGATGCCAGCTTAGAACCAACGACATTGCAGATTTTTAAAATTTTATCAAGGATCCCTAAATATATAATATAAACGCCAAACCAGATGTGGCAGCAATATTCAAAGCACGAACTTATAAATGTGTAGATAGATACGGGCGAGAAGATTGTCTGGCACGACACAGTGAGCCAACTTTCCTAGTACCAGGCATAGAAATTGTTTCGATATAATCTTTCCACTTAATGTCAGCGAAAAAACGTTAGCCCGAGAAAACGCAAAGACTCACTCCGTTAAGCCGTGCTGATGGAAGGCTGAAAAGCGTTTTCTCAGACGATTGATAGAGAGTAGTTTTAAAATGAACAAGCCATTCCTTGCCTCAGGTAACAGCAGAAATTAAGTTTCTTGGAACGCATGGTGACAAATGGACAAAATACGTTCTTTTCGAAATTGTGGGCTTATTTGCCATCCATCCCTGCGGTGTTATTTGCATACCAGACCGAAATCACAAGTTCTTAATGATCGTGACCTGAAGCATCTTGCGACAATTGTCTGTAGTAATAGACAAACAGCACCGACTCAAATCACATCTTCATTTTAGAAAGTGACATAGTATGTGCAATAAATAAGTTATTTTCGTTTACATAGCGCAGAGGAACAGAAAATCTACCTGGACGTCCCTGTTGACACCAGAGCACAGAACATCTAAACTCACCTGGGCTCGTGAAGTCACTAATTGAACATCCGAGGCGAATTGTAGTGTAGAGCGATGGGTTACGGTTCCATTTGCTTGGGGTCAATATATACCAGTGCTCAACACATCACCATGCAAGCCGTTCGCAGTTTTATAATGTTCAATATGTTCCTGTGGCATCCGCTAATCCTCCTAAACACAACATTGACGAGGAACCCTATATGGAACTGTTTCCTGACCATTTCAACCCATTCATGAACTTCATTCATCTCAACAACGAGGAGCTATCCCAAAAAGATCACATAGTGTGTCATCAGGCGCAAGATGGCCAGAATTGGTTTGAGAAATATTCTAGACGCGAAGAATTGTATGATGACTACTTTCGACCGACATAAACTTGATGAGTTTAAGTGTATTAATAGACTGGCAGGTTTCATCATTTTACAGCTGAAATGGCTAGATGCAACCGTAAGTTCTATGCTAAGAGTTTCTTCTCCAGCACTTCCCGATTGTGGAAATCTCTTCCGTTTTATGGCCTTCTAATCAACATCATTCTTCAAAAATTTTAAATGCAGCATCAATCGTTATTTTCTGTCTCCTTGAATCTTGTTCTTTCATTGTTCTCTCTCTATCCTCCATATGGTTTTCTCATTTTTCTTCACCCTCAGTAACACTCCCCTTGTATTTTAGAGGCTTTATCACCTTGATTGGAGTAAAATGATTTAAAATACATACACATATGTAGCGATTTACTAAATGTAATATTGAGGTGACAAAAGGTCAATGATATGGAGCATCCAGTGAAAATCGAACTCACTGCTCGGTCGCAAATGATCTAACAAAACAAACCTGCTAACCACTACACCACTTCGATACATACACACATACATACTCGTGTGTGTATGTGTGTACGTAGTTCTGTGCTTAAGTAAAATCGAATTATAGTGATTTTCTACGCGTAGCTTAGATGTGGCACAAGGCCAAAAGTATGGGGAACCCATTTAGGATCGAATACACTGTTCAGTCGTACTTGATATGGCGAGACTAGCTTGCTAAGCATTACACTACATCAATAAATATGTATATACATGCACACACATTTTTTTTGTGTGTGTGCGCACGCGTGTAGTTCTGTGTTTACCTTTGAATAAAATTGAATGATGTCTTCGTATGTGGAAAGAGAGTTTTATAAGTATATAAGTTGCATAACAATTATATATATATATATATATATATATATATATATATATATATATATATATATATATATATATATATTTTCTTTCGATGTTTGTTTTCTTCCTTGAACTTATCAACTTTCCCTTTTAAAACATTGCGTTGTTTCAACTTGAAAAACAAATGACAGTTCGCCGAGTCCTCTTATAACTTGGCAACACCGGCAAACAGAACAGGTTTGCACACGCATGCGCGCAACAAAATGCTTCTTGCACATGCGCAAACACTTTTTGTCTCATGACTGATCACGTGCTCGGATATTGATCGTTGCCTGCAATCCTGAGCGAATAGAATCATTTGCATAATTGCTACTAATGAGTTATGGAGAAGCAAATGCCCCAAATCAGAGCGAATGGAAGGAGACAATAGGGTAGAAGGGGATAAATAGATGGCGAGATTGGATTTGTCCTGTAGAGTTGGCTATTTTTTTTTTATCTACCTCTTCCTTTATAGCTGTATTTTGCATGGTGGGTGCGGGGCCCACACGCTGCATATTGAGAGAGAGAGAGAGAGAGAGAGAGAGAGAGAGAGAGAGAGAGAGGCGGGAATAACATTGTTTATACCAACTGGAGTGTCGACATACAGAATTCATTTCTTTCTAGTAATTTCATTCTTTCCTGTAAGATTCCTCATTACTACACAACTTACAGCCATATCAAGTTGAAACGCCGCTTCTTGTATGATCACCGAAATTAAGCAACGTTGAGCCTGGTCAGTACCTAGATGGGTGACTGCTTAGGAATATCATGTACTGCAAGCGTGGATGTGTGCATAGTGTAATGAATAACGGCTCGGAATTTATTACGAGTATTTCAGCAAGTAGTTGGACGAATATCCTTATTATTATTATTATTTCAACCGATATATCCTTCGACCTTGCTTTGAGGTTTGTTGTACTTAAGAATCCTTGCGAATCGTCAAAAATATTTTTAAATGGAGAACAGTTTTTGGAATTTGTCAGAGAGATTCCTATATTAGCAACAACTTTTCACGTTTAGTTAAAACGAGTACTTACTAAACTGACCACGTTCTTGAAAATAAATATGGCTAAAGAAAACACCGGAAAAAAATGGATAATAATAAATGTTCAAATTATGGCTGATACTGTTGCGTTAATTTTTGCGCTAATTCCCTTGGGAAAAGTAACCTCACTTTTCCAAAAGTCAAAATTAAGGAAAACTCTGCATTTCAAACTTGTGGCGTCGGTAAGGAGTAACTAGACCACAATTTTTTTCCAAAGAATGTTTGTCAATTTACAGCGAATAATGAAAAAGAATCTGTGGAGAAAATTTGTAATAGTAATGATGAGAAAAACCATTTCCATAGAAGAATGATTTAGGAATTTATTGACCGAGCATGAATTCTTTTTTACAACCAGAAAATACTTTTAGACTGTCATTTTTGTAGGTTGGAAGGAGATAATTATGGCTTAGTGATACAAATCTTACTAATTAATCCATAGCTAGAGCGTGTGCAAACTTGTTCTATTTGCCGGTATTGCGAAGAAATAAAAGGAGATCGGCGAACTGTCATTTGTTCTTCAAAGTGGCAGGAGAAGAGGTGAATTCTTATCTTTCTCAATGCTATTTGTGCATAGGTAAACATAACGAATCCAACTTGAATTGGAACTCGGCTCTCCGATTAACAGTCCCGAGCCGTTATCCATTACACCAGCCGCTTATCCAAGCTTACAGGACCTGGTTTTCCTGAGTTATCATTTAATCTATGAACAGGCCAAGCTCGATGTTGCTTAACTTCGGTGATAGATCGTACTGGGACCAGAGGTTTCAACATGATGTGACCGTAAGCCTTTGATCAAACAGGTAGTGTAACTATCAGGAAGTTTATAAAATCTTTTTTTTTTTTAAATATTGTTTTCGCACTTTCTACAATTGACGAGAATTTCCTTTCTAACCTTTTGTATAATGTCGTATGGAAAGTCAATATCTTGATTATATAATTATTCGATGTAGTTTTTGTTATTTGGTAAAAAACAAAACCAAAAAAAAACTCTTTTATTTATTATTCTGCAGCAGCAACCTATATAATCTGATTTTTTTTCTTTACGATCTAGAGCATTCATTCATTTGAAGCCACTTTTAATGATAGATAGGAGAAAACAATTGCATCTAGCTGACAATTTAAATTGAACGCCATGAAATATCGGCCATATGAGGGTCTGGATCTGAGGAGGCTATTTCAGAGCATGACTAAGTAATGTGTTTCCCCGTAATAGCTCTCCCACCCTGTTTAGTCATCAATTTACCGAAGCTCGTTAGGTAGGGTGATCATGTCCCTCCACAACATCCTATTCATTGGATCGTTAAGTAATGTTTGTCTTCTTACTATATCTTCCATGCCCTGTTCTGCTATCCATTTACCCAAGCTCGTTAAGTAGATTGACCATGGCTCTCTACAACATCCTATTCTTTTCAGCTCTAAGCAATGTTTATCCCCATAACAATACCCCAAGTCCCTTTTCTTCATTCCATTTATACAAGCTCCTTAGGTACATTAAGCGATGTCTTAATCTGCTGGTCTTGCTTTCAATATGTCCTTCCTGAAGACCACTATCCACATTAGTTGTCCACAAATTTCACCTCTTTCAAATTCAAAATACAAGTGTCGCTATTGTTACTATTTTACAAAATGTTACATTCTCCGTACATGATATCCTCAGCCTCCTGTCTTCTATTCATCAGTGAGGAAAGGATATATAGCAGGATTGATAGTATATAGTAATTCAGCACTCTTTACTAACGAAATTTTCCTATTTCATATTACTTTGTTTAGTTTTTGAAAGACATCTTTCGCTATTTCAATGCGACTTCGATTTTCTCTGCCATATATTCCATTATCAGTTATAAATTTTCCCAGCTAGTTGAATCCATGTAAGCGCTTAATTCTGACTCCATAATCTTGGTCTGTCCATCTTGATAATCTTAGATTGTTTTCTTACTAATAATGGTTAATCATCAAACTATATATATATATATATATATATATATATATATATATATAAATGAAGAAAATACTTAATTAGTCGTCACATAATCTTTTATATGATGACTAAGTATTTTCCTTATTTTCTCTGTATATAAATTTATACATTGAGCTTTCATCATGGAGTTAATTTTTTAATATTTTTATATTAAAAAGCTTTAATTGAAATAATCCCTACCACCTACGGATTTGGTGTATATATATATATATATATATATATATATATATGGACCTTTATGTAATGGTCCTTTCGTCAGACGGTATAAGCAGTTTTCTGCCGATTTTCTCATTTTCGTTATTTTTTATTGTTAGGTAGATTTGCTTTTCTTCTTTGTGTGCGTGTGTGTTTGTATGTGTATGCGTGTGTGTGTGTGCATGTACGTATGTGTGTGTATGTACGTGCGTATGTACGTTTACATATGTGTGCATGTATACATGTGTATGATGTCGTGTTTATTTAATCTTGTATATATATATATATATATTAATTAAAGACATTTTTATGTTTAACGTTCTTTTTTATAGATACAAGTTTTTAAGACAATGCTCTGTTTATAATAAACAGTATTAAATAACATTTACCGGCCTGAATGTCCGAGAAATTTTCATAGAAAATATTCGTTCTTTGACAGGATTCGAACCTGCATCCTATACGGAACCGTCATTTACGCTGACGTGCCTTACCGATCGGCCACAAAGAAGCGTTCGGTAGACAAGGTCGAATTTACTGCTTATAAACTTCAATCTTCCATGAATCTCGTACATTCATAACTGCTCTGGCGTATCAAATGTAAACAAATGACGTCATATATTAAGAAATGGACAAATGTCCATTTCTTAATATATATATATATATATATATATATATATATATATATATATATATATATACGTAAAGATAGATACCTTGGTGGTAGAACTAGAAACTGACTACAATTATCTTTTACGATGAACTATCTTGCAAGGAACTGTCTGGTCACGGAAATTGAAATTACATCCTGACTCTTTTCAACTCGAATGAAATGGCACAGTGAAGAATACAGCTCTAAGATTTTAAAAAAATCTCTCTCTCTCTCTCTCTCTCTCTCTCACTTATACTCCCTCTGTATGTGTGTATCTTCTCTCACATAAAATCGCTTATTCAAATCCATGTGCGCCTGTTCACTGCCCAGTGAAATTCGCATCAGTTTACTAACGTCTATAGTTCTGCCCCAAACCTACCCTGGTTCATTCAGTGTCTCGATCGACATAGCAGGTTTCAATTCTATCTCCTCATCGTACAGATTTACGACACCATCGTATCGACTGTAAACAGATTAGAGAATATTTACTATATGCGAGCTAATGTGCGAAATTGCCCGGGAGAGAAATAAATGGGAAAAGACAAAAGTCGAGATAAGATGAGTTATGGCCCAAGTGTGATCCTTTCTTCCTTTCATCAATGGACAAATTTCAACAAGGTCAATCTACGCATGCTCACAGAAACTAATGCCCGTGAGTGGGACGAATAATAGATCCTAATTGTTGTCCACTTGCAAAAGATGGGCAAAACATTTGCTTCTGTCAATTTGTGGTTTGTGTCGACGAATCCCATTCTTTAAAACATGTGTGTATCTATCAGAGACAAAAAAAACTCACGTTTCAATCAATGGTAGAGTGCTGCATCATTTTCATATATCACATTTTATTCATGATTTATATCTGCTCATATCTATTTCTCTCTCTCTCTCTCTCTCTCTCTCTCTCTCTCTCTCTATATATATATATATATATATATATATATATATATATATATATATATATATTGTTAAAAAATATGGACAAGATCTGACTATGAATTTTTTATTAATAAATCTTTCAAATTTCCGAATATTTGGGGCATCATTCGAAGTGCTCGGAAAAAACAATATTAAATAAAAATTTATATAAATTTTGGCAAATTTACCGATAAAAGAAAACAATTTATTCGGAAGTTTGTAAGAGTTAATAAAAAGCAGAACATGCCCATATTATTTAACAAAACATGCTTGAGAGAATTCCTTGTGGACAGGACATACACCTTTTATATATATATATATATATATATATATATATATATATATATATATATATATATATATATATATATATATATATATATATATATATATATATATATATATATATATATATATATATATATATATATATCGTCATTCACAGGAAAACGGTTTCGCTGTATCGCAGCTTCTCAGTATGGCTAGACATCCGATCGCTTCAAGCCGGGACAGAAACCCGACCGATTTGGCATCAGTTGCTCGGCTTTAGACGCTCGTCAGAGAGAAAGGAAAATGTTTGCGTATTTATTTTTTCATAAATACGCCAGTGACCTAGAGGATTCAATCCGTTGGGAGTGTCTTGCATTAGTAGCAGTTATAGTCACTGTTTACAAATACGCAATCTCTCTCTCCAAAGTGCTCGACCGAATTCTCTTCATATCTACTATCTGTCTTCCCTACTGTCAGTCATATTATTGTCTTTCCCTTTCACTGTGTGTAACACCCTGCGGTCTGGTGGCATTGTCGCCTTGCTCGTGGGGGAAACCATTAGACAATTCTAACAAGCTATCTGTGTCCACAGATCTATCTATCTATCTATCTATCTATCTATCTTCTATCTATCTATCTATTTGACTTTCTCGTTTCTTATTTGCATTTCTCTCTCTCTCTATATATATATATATATATATATATATATATATATATATATATATATA